CCTGCCCCTCCTTCTGCACTGACCTTGGTGTCTACATTGTTGTTCCCATGTTCTCACTCTGCTCTTCCCTGACTGGAATTCTTTCTGTGCCATAACCTTCTATTCTTAAATATGTTATCACAGAGGCATTACTATTACTCCTGATTGGCTTGGCCTTGGCCAGTGGCAGGAAGTCCATCCTAGAGCCGGCTGGCATTGGCTCCATGGGACAGGCAGAGATTTTAGCAGCTTCTTACAGAAGCCACCCCTGTAGCCTCCCCAGCTACCAAAACCCAGCCACAGAAATCCACTACATCATCCCAGTTACTTAGTTCTTTTAGTAATCTAGCATAGCACAGGAAGGACATGGACGTGTTAGAGCAGGTCCAGCCAGAGGAGGGTCACAAAGATGATCAGAGGGTTGGAGCACCTCTACTATGAGGAAAGGCTGAGAGAGCTGGCATTGTTCAGCCTGGGAAAGAGGTGGCTTTGGGAAGACCTCACTGCAGCCTTTCAGTACTTAATAGAGGACCTGTGAGAAAGACAGGAACAAACTTTTTAGTGGGGACAAGGTGTGATAGGACAAGGTGTAATGATTTTAAACTAAAAGAGAGTTGGTTTAAATAAGGAAGAAATTTTTTAGAACGTGGATGGTAGGACATTGGAACAGGTTGCCCAAAAAAGTTGTGGATGCCCCATCTCTCAAAACATTCAAGGTCAGATTGGACTGGGCTCTGAGCAACCTGGTCTAGTTGAAGATGTCCTTGCCTATGGTGAGGGGGTTGGATGAGATAACCTTTAAAGGTGCCTTCCACCCCAAACTATTCTATGATTCTAAAGGCATGGTGAAACATAGCTCACAGGGACTTGAGTTACAAAAACCTGTTGCTTTCACATATGCACCCTGTGTCATACAAACCCTCATTAGAGGAAATAGGACTGTTTGAGGGCACACTTTGGTTCTTAAAAGCACTGCAGTAGCCCTAGAATAATTAATATGTGCATTATGTGCATATGCATCCATTTGCTCTGTAAAGCAATTGAAATTTGCTGAGAACCAAATGATGATTATGTTATATGGTTTTATTATAAAGTGAGGCAATGTGAGAGAGGAATCTTCAACTGATGAACTGTTTTAGCACCAAAGATGATACCAAATGCGAGAGGTCTGCTCCACTTTCCTTCTTTTTCTTGTACTTCTTATCCACTCTCTATACTTCCAGGTTGACTGAGATAGAAGGAGGCAAGACTGTGAGCTTTTTTGATGGCTGAAGCATATAGCTGTCAGAACTGATTATGAAGATTGAGGAGTGTCTTACTCAGCTCTTAGGCCATCAGCTTGTAATCTTGGTGTTACAGCAAGAACTCCATCCAGACCTATGTTACTGTCTTCTGACAGTCCAACTGTCAAGTTGTTGAACACTCTGGATCCCATAAATACCTTTGTGCAGTTGTATTAGAAGATTTTTTCTCAAACTAAGATTTTGACTATGGTGTGATTTGTTTGTGATTTTTTTAATGCTTGAAAATCAGATTCTGTGCTGCTTCTCTGTCTGAAGTAGTTGGTACTTGTTTAGCACAAAGTACTTCTTTGTGATTTCTGCTTGTCACCTCTCAGTATGGTGATAATTGTTTTTGCTTTTTGTTTTTAATCTTTATTCTTGCTTCGTTACTTCTTTTTCATTTGTCAGAGATGCAACTTCCACTGTGAATCGCATGGGATCTTTGTTGCAGATAACTGAGATAATCACCTGCTATGAAGAATAGTCTTTTTGTTATCTTGCCTGAAGGACTGGATTAAAGATGTTTCAAGCTGCTGCACACCCTAGGATAGTTCATAAAGGAAAAAAATGGTCCTGAAGTTTCACCTTAATGTGACCTTGATTTTTATCTAAACCAACTGACTAATCTGTCTGTTTCTGACACAGGGAACTTAGTGTATGTATCTCTGCTTGGTTAAATTGAAACTGTTGCCTTATCCATTTTGTAGCTGTAGCCAGGCATTCTAAAAGATTAATAGTGCACTACTTAGTATTTTCATTCTAGAGTCTGTAGTGGCTGATTTAGTGTATTCTAATCAGACTTTGGTTGTCACTCTGATTTCTTTCACCCCACGAAGATACTGATAGTTGATACAGATTTACAGTAACTGTTGTATTTAGTATCTGTGGTTGCTGCTGTTTTGTTGTGGCTTGCAAGGTTTTAAAACGTGGAAATTAAAGAAGTCCCTTGGCTTCTTTTCTCGCCAGGCATAATTTTAAATCATAGTAATAATTGATGGAAGATTGGATTTCTTGAAGATGTCTGTGTACCTATTACTGCATGACAGCTCCGTAAAACAATCAGAGTTTGACGTACTATAGTGGTGTAAGAGTTGATGTGAAGATTTCACTTTTGATTCAGAGACCATGTCAAGCAAACTTGAGACTGATAAAAGAGTTCAAGTGATAACTTCTTTCTTTAGGTCAATCTCTACCATATCTTTACTGATGATATCTTTGAAACTTTTTAAACATTTACAAAATTACTTGATTTGACTTGCCAAATAACAGTCCTAATACAACTCACAAATAAGTTCCGTGGTTGGGAAAAGTTTGTCCACACATACAGTCTTTAGTATTTTATTTAAAATAATAAACCCTTTCTTCCCCCCTTCTCTGTTCTCCCAGAAAAGTTTCTGGCCCTTGAAATGCAGTACTGTGCAAGTGAAATAAGTTTTAATTTTTACATTGTTTAGAAGGTGATGAGTATTTAAAACAGTAGGTAAAGTTGTAGAATTGTTTCAAATATGTATTTATTGGATGGCTTCATGGTCTATAAACTTACTGAATTCCAAAGACTTGTTTATATATCAATGCATTCATAGTTATGGAGCATTATAACTGATTCTTCTTTAGGATAACTGAAATATGAACATTAAAAAAAAGATTAAAAATTATGTGATGGTAGTGGTTTTAGCACTCAAAATCAGTTTATAAAAACGAATTTTAATTTCTGATCAGCCAAACAAACTCCTCACTTCTGAAAAGTGGTATTTCTATGCTAACTAGCACAGACCACATATATAAAGTGTCTAGTGTCTGTCGGTCAGTGCGGTGTACTCAGAGTCTTGGTGTTGTGATGCAGTAACTTTAGTTTGAAAGTACTTTAAATTTGAAAGTTGTATCTCTTATTTTGCTTATCCTTATTTCTGTTAGAATATTAATAGTTTTGAAGGGTTGGAATAGATCCATGTGTAAACTAATTCTTGGCACAAGTTTCCTTATTTCACCCAAATCAGCACTTTATACAAAAAAGTCAAACAGGTGATTAAAATGCTGATTAAAAGTAGCTTTCAGTGCTGATAAGGGTTGCTGTAAACTGTGAATTTAAATTTTCTTATACTGTAAACTAACACTTTCTATATAGAACATTCAGATTTCTCTTTCAGCATATTTCAGAACTAATACCAAGTTACTCGTGCCCTTGGTTGAAGAAACAAACATGAATCTGCTCCACTATAAATGAAAAATCTAAACTACTCTTCTCCAATTCTTCCACTTGGCCCAGTAACTTAGAGAAATTTCAGTGAAAAGAACTGAAACTGTTGCCTGAACTTAAATTCTTACTCGGTTCAGGTCAATTCTAGCTGCATTTTTCTTATGGTTCACACTGTGTAACACTTACCTGTTAACACTGTTTAAAGATTTTTTTTCCTTCTCTCTCTAATTATTAATTTAATAGATTCAATAGAATAGCTAATTTCTGAAGGAATTACTGTACTTAATTTTCTGAAAAGATTGAGCACTCTATTTCTGTGGGATTAGAGGGTAGCGGTTTTACTACATAGTCCCTACATCATTTCTGTATCTTACTATGGTGAAAGCAGATTTGTCATCAGTTCCTTACAGTATCAGTGTTGCAGCAAGCTAGTCAGTATAATCAAAATGTCTGTCTTCTGCTAACTGATGTCTTTAATGAGTCTTCTATATCCTGTGACTTCATATATATTTCTTGCCTATATGTCTATTCAAAACTTTTTCTTAAAATGTAGAGTTTGTAACACTGATATTCTGATATTGAATAAATAGGAAAAGTGTATCACAGAATATGCTGAGTGGGAAAGGACCCACGAGGATCATCAAGTCCAAGTACTGGACCTGCACAGGACACCCCAAGAATCACACCATGTGCCCAAGTTCAAATGCTTCTCGAACTCTGCCAGGTTTAGTGCTGTGACCACTTCCCTGGGGAACCTGTTCCATCACCCAACCACCCTCTGGGGGAAGAACCTTTTTCTAATATCCAACCTAAACCTCTCCTGACATGACTTCAGACCATTCCCTCAGGTCCTGTCGCTGGTCACCACAGAGAAGAGATCAGTGCCTGCCCCTCCTCTTCCCCTCATGAGGAAGTTGTAGGCTGTGATAAGTTCTCCCCTCAATCTCCTCCAGGCTGAACAGACCAAGTGACCTCAGCCACTCCTCCTACAGCTTCCCCTCAAGGCCCTTCACCATTCTTGTTGCCCTCCTTTGGACACTCTCAATAGCTTTACATATTACTCATACTGTGGTGCCCCAAACTGCACACGATATCCAAGGTGAGGCCGCCCCAGTGCAGAGCAGAGCGGGACAATCCCCTCCCTCGACTGACTGGTGATGTTTTCCCTGATGCCCCCCAGGACAGGGTTGGCCCTCCTGGCTGCCAGGGCACTTGCCATCAACCAGGACCCCCAGGTCCCATTCTGTGGCACTGCTTTCAAGCGTCTCATTCCCCAGTCTATACATACATCTAGGGTTGCCCCATCCCAAGTGCAGAATCCAGCACTTTCCCATGTCGAACTTCATATGGTTGGTGATTGCCCAGCCTTCTGATTTGTGTACTCTGAACCTGAAAACGTTTGCTGGGTGTAGCTGCAAGGAGAGATAAGGGAATGAAGATTAATATCTCTATATAAACTTTAATCTTTTTGCATTGTTCTGGAAATCTGCTTTATTCCTGTGAGCTGATTGAAGGTTGACTGTAATTACTTTCTGTTGCAGATGAGCCAACACGTTCCTTGAGTGGTCTTATCTTGAAGAATAACGTAAAAGCACATTTTCACAACTTTCCAAATGGGGTAACTGACTTCATTAAAAGTGAATGTCTGAACAACATTGGTGATTCCTCCCCCTTAATTAGAGCTACTGTAGGTAAGTTTGCTCTTATTACTGCATTCTTCATACTGAAAATGTTACTGATATGGGTGAGAGCTGCACTAGTGACATAACAGTTATTAATTAAACTCCTAAAAGTGCTTGCTTCTGATAAGTGTCAGATTTTAATGAGACATTTCACCATATTTTAGTATTTTTCTTTACTGAGAATATAAAAAGTCACACTTTTGATTCTTATTATCTTAGAATTGATACAGCAATTCAGTTCATATTTCGTGAAATGTAACTGAATGTAAGTTTCTTTGAATCTACTAAAATTGAGCTTGCTGCCAGCTTCTCAACCTAAAAATGGGAATAAGGTAAAGGTCTAACTTAACTATTTCATTACTCTGGTTACATCAAGGAAACACTTCCTTTAGTTGATTTCCTGCACGTCACTGCCCATATGCACACAAATGCACATCCCTTCAGGGAATCATCGTACTATGCATAAGGCATTCACATAAGGAGGTTCTGTTCTTAAATACCTTCTGTCAGAAAATACTAGATAAAGTGTGGTGTACATGGAATCATAAAATAGTTAAGAGACCTTAAAGATCATCTAGTTCCAGTGAGAAGTTTCTTTTTTGTTACACAAATTTCTGATTTTGTAAATACTTTGTTTTGGTATACATCTTTCATAAATTGTGTATATTTGTATTATTTTAACTTATTTCAAGGTAAAGTTGGTTTTCTGTCTGCTCTTTTGAGAATATGATTTTCTCCAGTATTGTAGTAATTTTCCTTTTCTGCTCAAAAACTAGAAAAACATAAAATATATATTTGAATACTCTCGAGAAAATGGGTATGGATGTCACTTCAGAAAGAAACTCAGCTTGTATCGGCTGACTCCTTATAAAATAATCTACCAGTTACTGTTCCTTTAGAACCCTTTGCTTTTTCTATAGGATTCCTTCTAGAGAAAAATACTCATTTCTTAGCTTTTTCCTGCTGTCTTGTCACTTGTGAAGATGCTTTACAATGAATTTTATTAATGGTCCATATTTATTAATGTTCCATAATGTTCCATATTAATGTTCCATGTTCCATGTCTTTGAGTGGCAAGTACATTTGGATTTCAGGTTGTAGAAGAGTCACTCTTACTTGTTTGTTCATAGGAGTTTTCAGTGGAGTACAGTGGAGCTGACTAAAGAAAATATTCTAGTTCCACTTGGATTGCTGTCTTAGGTTTGTTTGGTGACGATCTGTGGGGTAATTTTTTGAGGGAGGCAGGGATCGTTTGTTTTCAAGCAGTTACTGTTTAGTTTCTCCTGGTACAAAGTGCTTGTGGATTAGTAGCTCAGTTATTGTTCAGCTTTAACTGATCCTTGCAGGGATTTTTCAGCATATATGAACTCTGAAAATGGTAGCAACTTATGAACTATATGCTTGCATAAGCTGTTTAGCATGTGCGTTGTGCTCTCTGTTTGAATTGTTGGATCTCTGGAGCTATCTCTCTCAGTAATGATGTTGGTCTGGTACCTGCTCGTTTCTTGGTACTACTTAGCTGTAAATATATTACTACCTGCCTAGACTGCCTTCTTAGCATGAGTTGGCATGTGCAAGTTAGAGCTGACCTTTTTGATGAGTATTGGCTTTTGCAGTTTAAGCACTATCAATTTAATGAGCCAATTGCAAATAAGATCTCAGGCATTCTAAGAGCAAGATGAATAAGTACATCAAAATAAAGAATCAGAGAAGATTTAATGCAAGATTCGCTCTGTGGTCTCCAGCATCTAGTACTAGCCAGATGAAAGCTGATACCTTTTGGCCAAGACAGAGGCAAGCTGATTAATCCTGTCCTTCAAAGTCACTTTGCTGAGGAGAATGAGCATGGTAATAGAGTTGATTTTAGAACTGTGACTTAGAGACCAAATGATAACTGCACATTATTGCATCCTTACTTGGCTTATCCTTATTTTAATCCCCAGAGGAGCAACAGAGTGTAACTTCTCTGTACTGTGTGGTACAGGTTTTAAAACCCTGTGTGCTGATCTTGAAATATGGATTCAAGTTCAAGCTGCATTTATGAGAACGCACAAATTTACCAGGATATAAATGCATCTCTTTTGGAAGTACCTGCAACTGTTCTTAAAACTTGCTAAGGATTCTAGTCCAAGGCATGACCTTAGTGGTAGCTCCACTTGAACACAAGCAGGAAAAATAGTTTGAGCATTTAAGACTAGTAGTAGGACTGGAGAGCTTCACTGCAGGAGGAAATTGAAAGCTAATGATTGCCCTATGAGGGGAAATTTTGTTATGAAATTCAACTTTTAAAAGTAATGGAGTTCAGAAATCAACTTTAGGAGCTACAGGGGCTCCAAGAACCACACTCAAAACCCCAGCCTTCCCCCTGTCCTATTATTGGCATAAAAGTAATGAAGCATAGCTGCTTTTTCTTTGTGTTAAATTTTTCATTGTAGAATTGATCCTGTAAACTGAGGTTACATGTAATTGAAACAGTGACATAAAAGATGTTGTCAAAACAAGTAAGCTTATGTTTTTAACAATTTCTGACATCCCTCTGGAGTTTGTTCTCTTGTGTATTTACTGCTTAATTAGCCCAGTTGCTATATTAGTTAGATTTCACATTTGTCAAGTGAAATATCAAAAGATTCTGTAATACTGTTTTGAAGTTAATTACAAATCAAAGACCATCTTTATAAAGACTTTCAGTTTCAGCTTGCTGACCGTGTTGCTTAGTATGCTGGTCAGAAGGAAGGGCCTTGTCTAGCCCAAACCTGTCAAAAAGCTTCAGGCTACTAAACTGATTTATTTCTTTACTTTGATTATTCTCTGATCTCCATATTTCTGTACCTGAAGTGTTGCAGAGAAAGCCATGAAAGTGTTGGTCTTTTCTCTGGTGTCTCTGTTCCCTGCTGGACAAATGAAGCAGAAGGTCTGTAGAGAAAATTTCGCTTTTGGAAAATGATGCTTATTGGAAACCGATGAAGATTCTTTTTAGCATGAACATAAGTTCCTGAAACTTAGTTTTATGTGGCTGCTTCCTGATTGTTCTTAAAACCTTTTGCAAACTGTCAAATGCTATAACAGTTGCCTCTCTAAGTTCCTGGTAGTCCGATATTAGTCTCTTTTTTTCTTTGTCTCTACCAAAGTGTCTCTTTAACATTTCGAAAGCACTAGCACAGTGTTAAATGGCTTTCCCCAGATCTGTATGGAAAGTTTGTAATGGCATGTATGATCTGAACTGCGTACATCTCTGTTGCAAGGGCCAGTGGCCTCAAGTCACTTCTTGCCTATGCATCTGGAAGTATTTCCTCCTAGTTTGTCCTGTTGCTGTCTGGAATAGGCCTTTTGGAAAAACACTGAAAGTAGGTTTTGAATTCAATAGTTTCCTTCAGCTATGAAAGCTTGGACATATTACAAATATAGCCAGACCATTTATCATCTTCTGAAAATGCTTCTAGACCTTGAAAAGATCTTCAGCCAACTCTTTTCCTAAAACTACCTATCCCTTTGAGGCTTGTAATGATTTCTGTCACATGTTAGTCCAGAGGAGGTTCAGGAATTTCATTCTTACGTTTGTTTCTGAACTTGTATTAAATGTACAAACAAACTTGTGCCAGATCTAAGTTAAAGAGACAATTTTGCAAATTAAGTGCTTTGACTAGGAGGCAAGAAAGTTAATTTATTTTGTTATTTTTGTAAAAGAAAAAGAAGTGGTTAAGATCTAGCATCACTAAGATAAGTATTTTCTATTAATGAATCTGGTGTTCTTTACAGGATGATAATATTCAAGAAAAATGTAGTCTTTTAAGACTCCATAGATCTCCATAGGCTTTTGGGAATCTTTTCTATTCAGTTGCAGTTATGAAGAGAACTGTATACAAACTACTTCTGGAGCTGTAAAACTGTATTTGGCTTCTGTCTTAATTTTTGCACTTTGTCTGTGTGAGTTCTCCAACCTGTTTCATCAAAGGAAACATGATGCAAAATATTGTTTAGTTGCTGTGTGTCCTGTCCAGAATGTCCTTTGCTCTGTGATGTTGTCCTGTATTCTTGTGTATTTAACAAGAATTTTAACATTTTATTCCAAAGAAAAATGATATGTTGTGATTAGCTCAATGAAAAAGCTTGGGAAGCTTTTTCCATCACTTTTCACTTGAGAGATTACTGGCTGTAGTAGTATCAAGTTCTTCTATGTTCATACTCCTTAGCAGTAACTTCCAGTAGCAGAATGGATTATGCTACCTGTTTCATTTTGTGTTGAGGCAAAATGAACTCATACAAACTCAGTCCTAGTTTTATAAGCTGCCTTCCCTGTTCTTGTCACCTAATTAGTTTTTCCTCGGATTTCTGGAAACAGAATTAGTGACTCTCTGGGCTGACCTGTCTGTTTGCTGGATCTCACAGCCCATAACTGGATGACTTGCCTGTGTTTAAGCTCTTTTTAGGTATCTTGGTCTTAGAATCTGTCCTTAATATTCTGTGTAAACACAGTAGAGTTGCGAACACATAACTTAGCACTCAGTTGTAAGTTTATTTGACAGATTGGCACATTGATGCTTCTGTATCATCACAAACCCGAAGTGGATACTCTATATTGAAGGTCCAGACTTGCACAGTGTTTAGTAAATTTAGAGCCGAAGTTGCCCTGCCATGTTTTTAATTATTATTTTATATACATATATATGTGTATAAATGTTGTAAATTTTTATTTCCTTAAGTGAAATTACTTTGTGCTTGATTTCTAATGTCTGAGCCCTTCATGGTAGCAGGAAGGAACAACTCACCTTTGCTTTTCAAAGCCCTTCAAGTAACGTGCAATTAAATGTGCTTCCTTCTTTTATGCATGCCAGTTTTTAACAAAACAAGAAATCTCTTAAGTCCTACAATATCTGAGAGGAGAAAAATAAGAAAAATTGATATGAACAATGTGAAAGTATGTGAGATCTCATTTCCTTCATTATTCTGTTTCCTTTAGGCATTCTGATAACAACCATTGCCTCAAAAGGGGAATTACAGAATTGGCCAGAACTCTTGCCAAAGCTTTGCAGCCTGTTGGATTCTGAAGATTACAATACCTGTGAGGTAAGGAGATTTATAGAAAATTTAAGAGTATCATCTGAATTTGATTATTTTTATCTCTCTTCACAGAGACTTTGTATAGGTATAGTATTGTGTGCATTTCTGTGTGTCTTTATACGTGTCCATGTGTTCTCCTTGGGGAATAGGGGCTCAGTTTGATACTTTCTTCTCTACCTGCAGTCCATGTTCTTACTGTTCATTCAAATGAATTTAGGTTTTTTGCATAAAAGCAGAATAAGATTGCAGATGGATAGTTGGCGTATCTCACAGCTGAGAAGTGTCCTGAAGTTACTACTCTTTTAGGCATCATCAGTGTCATTAAGTTGACCCTGAATTTTCTCTTACATAAAAGTAGAGTTCATTCTTATTGTAACTTAATCTGGAAAAGTGATCTGTGATTGCTTGCCATTTGAATTACTTGATACTGTCTCCATGGAAGTGTATGAAACATTATGTATAAAGTGATCCTCAGAGATGACTGATGGTCCAAGACACCATGCTGTTGTGTAGTGTTTTAGTGGTGCTTTCTCTCAGAGAAAGAAAAAAATGCTTGAAAATGGAACTCAATTTGAGTGTCATCTCTGTTTAGCCCCATAACAAATCATGAAAGGAAATACATTTATATATCTAATTAAATTGGATACTCCTGCCCCATTCTATTTATTTATAAAATAAGAGCTAGCTTTTAAACATTTTTTAAAATATGATTGAATAGATGAGCATTGAACGCTAAAACTAAAATTACAACTTATCCATTACTGACTCACACAGCTTGAGAGCTGGCAGATGCTGGTTTAAATAAAATGCCTTTAAGGATATTTCAGTTTAATCCATATTAAGTTAGCTGCATTTACAGTGTTAACTAGCTACATATACTGTGTTGTGCTGAAATTACCTATTGTATACAAAGTCTGAAATTTGGTGTTCTTCAGAATGTGAAAGAATATATTTATTTATTTGTTTGTTTACTTACTTATTTATTTTTAAACAGGGTGCTTTTGGCGCTCTTCAGAAAATATGTGAAGATTCTGCTGAAATTTTAGATAGTGATGTGTTGGATCGGCCACTCAATATCATGATACCTAAGTTCTTGCAGTTTTTCAAGCACAGCAGTCCAAAAATACGGTAGGTTTATATATTGTGCTTACAGTTACCTGTAGGCTTTATGTTTAAATTTTATTTACATGAGCAGCAAGGCTGCTATTTTGTAGAGCTGTTTAAAACCTGCTTTGTTTTTTTTAAATAACCCTGCAGAGATCGACAAAGATTCCATGCATCAGTAATTTCCATGCTTGTCTGCTTGGTTAATGCAACAATCTCCCCTCTCAATGATTTTGAAAATCAAATTGTTTCCTTAAAGTTTTTGCATATTATTATGAAAAATTCAGTGCTGGGGTTTGCACTTAATATTCTGATTAGAAATAATAATTTTGCATTCCTTTTGTAATGGCTTCAGCAATAGGAGAGTAAAAATTCTTTTGCTGACAAAAGTTTCTGAGCTTTGGTGAAAAAAGTCCTGCTTTTAACTGAACTTTCAGCTGAATCAATTTGAATGGGCTCATCATCTTTTCACTGTAAAACTATATTAAATCTCTCTAAAATAACAGCGTGGAAGAAAAATTCCAGAATTTAATTATTATTTCTAATATTCATTACAAAGAACAGTAGCCAGAGTGCCTCTGCTGTAAAAAAAGGTAACGGCATCCTGGGCTTTAGTGTTGCCATCTCGTTAAGGAAGGTGATCCTTCCGTTCATCTTCCAGATGAGGCCACACCTGAAGTACTGTCCAGTTCTGGACAGTTCAGTGTGAAAGAGACATGGATATACTGGAAAGAGTTCAACAGATGTCTGAGAAAAGGCTGAAAGAGCTGAGACTCATCAATGTGTTTAAATACCTGAAGAGAGGGAGGAAGAAAAGACATGTCTGGGCTCTTTCCAGTGGTGCCCAGTGACAGAACCAGAGGCAGTGGCCACAGACAGAAACTCAGAAGGTTCCCTCCGAACATCAGACCCACCTTTTTACTGTGAGAATGATCAAACCCTGGCACAGGTTGCCCAGAGAGGTGAAAGAGTCTCTGTCCTTGGAGATATTCAATAGCCAGCTGAACATGGTCCTGGGCAACTGGCTGTAGGTGGTCCTGCTTGAGCAGGGGGTTGCACCAGATGATTTCCAGAGATGCACTCCAGCCTCAACCATTCTGTGATTCTTAGTGATTCTGTGAAATGTGTTTTTAACTCCTGTTTGAAAATTATATTGAAAAATTTGGCAACTTGGAAGTGGCAATTCTTTATTGCCAAGAGTGGTAGATAGTGAAGACTTAAGAGGAAGACTATAACTTAGAATGTATCATGCTACGATTCTGATAGGGTTGAGAAATTTACCTATAAAAGATGCACACTGAGAATAATATGTAATAAAATGTGAACTTGGTCTTGTGGAAAGATAAAACTTAGTAAGTTTCACAGAATATTCTGAGTTGTAAGGGACTCACAAGAATCATCAAGTCCTGCTCTTACATGATTGGCCCATGCAAGGATCAAACCCATGACCTTGGTGTTCTTAACATCATGCTCTAACCAACTGAGCTAATCTCATAATCTCCTTTCTGGAGCTGGGAGAGATGGAGAAAACATGCTTCTTTCCTTACTACATTATACAGTCTCTCACTTCTTTCTTATGCTGCAAGGTTCCTGGATTTGAGACTGTTAAACCACTTTCAAATTTAAAGCAGGCTACCTGCTGACCCATAGCCTAGTTTGAGTACATAGTGCTGTGGTATGAAAAGGACTAGTAGTGTTAGTACAATAATACCTTATATTTAAATCTAAGGACTAGTAGTGTCAGTACAATAATACCTTATATTTAAATCTATCGAAAGACAACTTTTGAACAATGTTTTATGAGACAGTCTTCCAAGAAATGTCGAACAAAATAAAAGTTTAGAGTTGCACTAGTAAAAATACTGTAATGAATCTTCAAGGGGCGTTAGAGGTAGTTTTGCCTTGTGCCTCTGCTTTGAGAATTTGACTTTTGTGTCTGAGAATGAAAAAGACATGTAAGTAATGGCTTTACGTGAAATGGAATAGAATAACAATGCTTTGTTTTTTAGAATATTTCTATCATGAGTATGTATCCTACGATGAGTGTGGGTTTGTTCTAAGCTATAGTTACATTGTTGACACATATTAGTCTCACTAAATTCTAAAAATATTGCAAAGGAAGTTGCATACTTAGCAGCGAAGAAGGTCTTGCTTAAATTTCGCCATGTTGACTTGTATGGAATTATTAATATCTGATAAGATTACAATCATAATATAACCAAAAAGAACATCATTACATTCTGTTCAGAACAAATGTGCCAGCCATAGTCATCCTGCCCTGTTTTCTTTTTACTGAATAGTTTATTTTAAAATATTTATTAGGTATTTCAGAGTATAAGACAGTATTTAAAATGTGGTTTACTATTTTGTTTGGTTAGACTACAGATATGTAGATTTATTCTCTCTTGCCCTTAGAAGGTATTTGTTTAATGTTTTTGCTGCCTATATACGGTTTAAAAATGTTTTTAATTCATGAAAATATGTATTTTAACTGTTCCATTTGTAGGTCTCATGCTGTGGCTTGCGTCAATCAATTTATCATCAGCAGAACTCAAGCTCTTATGTTGCACATAGATTCTTTTATCGAGGTGGGTGTGTATTCTTGGTTGGAGTTAAGTCTGATTTATCAGGAGTTTTGAACTGTGTTTTACAACCACCGCTGCCCCTAGACTCCCCATTTTTGGTTGCCCATTCTTAGTTTCAGTCCCCATGGACTGAAGTTCATTCTGTATGCTTGTGCTCAGAGGTAACCACTCAGTAAGCCCAAAAAATAGACTTATTTTGAAAGATGTTTCATTTTCATAAATAGGGTAAGCTCTTGCTGTGTAAAGGTGGAAAAGTAATGACAACGGTCTGTCTCTTACCTGTCCTGGAAAGTGCATGTCACTGGGCCTGTTTGTCTGTCTGAATACTGCTACTAAACAAGGATGAGAAGGATTCTGAGTTATCTAGACTGTTTGATTTGCTACTCTTATGTACTGACACAATTTTCTGTTTACTGATAGAATTTACATTTAGAAGAAAAAAAATAATCCAGGAAGTACTGTTCTTGTGCTGTTAATACTACACAGTGTCATGGTTATGTGTAAAATATGTTGGGAGTGTGAAGAGTTAATTTGAGTTAATACATCTTTAAGAAATAAAATAGTATTCTGAGGTGTGGGGTAGGCGAGTACAGAAGTACGTATTTGCATACTTTAGTTTGCCAGGTCCTACATTCTGAGGACCTCACTGCCACTGTCCAAGCTTTGCTCGGCCCCAGCAGATGAACCTCAGGATTAAAGGGTGGGCTCAGTTCAGCGCACGCTGGGTCTCACCTAAAAAATCCACTGCGCAGGCTCGAAGGGTCAATGACCTTTCCCAAATCTTCGCTCGCGAAGACTGGCCATTAAGTTTGCCAGCAGTGTCAATTTTAATAGAAATTGAACTTGATGAATAGAGGCTTTTCAACTGTTACGGTTTCCTAACAGAATCTTTTTGCGCTGGCTGGTGATGAGGAGCCTGAAGTACGCAAAAATGTTTGCCGTGCTCTGGTAATGTTGCTGGAAGTTCGGATGGATCGCCTTCTTCCTCATATGATTAGTATAGTTGAGGTGAGTTTAATTTTCTAGATTGCCTGAAGATTCCCCTGTTTGGTATTGCAGAAGTATTAACAAATAAAAACCATTTATCAGAACAGCTATGTTACTCTTCCTTCAAGACTGAGATTGCAAAAATTTCTTTTTATCTAATTGCCAACTTGACACTGTGTTTGACAGGCAGTGCATATGGCAGTTGTTTATTCTTCTTTAAAATAATTATCCTAGAATGACTGGGATCAAAGTCAAGGCATTGCTTGACCCTAAATGAGAAGATTGTGTTAAAAATCTAGCACTGGTGGGGCCCCTGGTGGTCTAGTGGTTACGGTGCAGCACTTTCACTGCTGCGACCCGGGTTCGATTCCCAGCCCCCCGGGCAGATGGAGCTCGTCAGCCCTGTAAGGCAATCCATCTAAGAGAAGGTCGCTCTAAACAAACCTACATCCTGGGGACCTCACTGCCACTGTCCAAGCTTGCTCGGCCCCGGCAGATGAACCTCAGGATTAAAGGGTGGGCTCAGTTCAGCGCACGCTGGGTCTCACCTAAAAAATCCACTGCGCAGGCTCGAAGGGTAATGACCTTTCCCAAATCTTCGCTCGCGAAGACTGGCCATACATATACATACAGGTGGTGCTGGTACTGCCCCACTTTACATGTTGAAGCTGTCACTTTTTTGGATGTGTAACATAACAAGGATAAGGCATGTTATTTTATATAGCTGAGGTGCTCTTTGAGCTACTAATGAATAAGTTCTAACTTAAATATTTATTTTTATATTGTGTAGTACATGCTTCAAAGGACCCAGGACCAAGATGAAAATGTGGCTTTGGAGGCTTGTGAGTTTTGGCTGACTTTGGCTGAACAGCCAATTTGTAAAGATGTATTATGTCGGCATCTTACTAAGTAAGTATTAAGAATTACAACTCATTAAACTTAAAACTTCAGTTGACTTGTTCCTGGGTACTCTTTTATAGAGACTGTATCTAGCTTGCAGTATATTTAGACGAATTTTCCTATAGCTAGTTCTTGTGCATAGTATAATTGAAAAGACTTCTGAAGATTTCAGACCCTGTGAACTCCAGAAACAACTTAACTGTGTCACTGTAGTGGTTTACCTCAAATTTAATAAGCTGTTAAGCTTCCCATGGATGCAAAGATATGCTAACATGCACTTACGCTCAAATAAACGTCTTCACATGACATTACTTGTAATACCTTGTGTACCATGAACGTGTTGTCTTGACTACTGCTGATGTGGGCATCTCTGTGCAATGCTTCTATGTGCATAGTTGTGTAAAAAGTTCCTCGTTTTAAAAAGAGCATAAGACAACATGACATGACTTGGATTTAGGAATCAATTTTATATCAATTACTATTGCAATTTAAACTTGAAGAAAGCATGTAGAATTTGTTCCTTCACACTTCTGCAGCCTGATAGTTTAAATTTCAAATATTAGTTTTTCTAACTTTCAAAAAGTTATCCTATGCCTCAAAATATAGAACGTTGATTGAATGGGAGTGAATATCCACGTGTGAAGTGTAAACATCTGCATGTCTGCAACGGTGCTTGTAACTTTCTCCAAACTAATCTGAAGTCTTTTACAACAGGAAATTAATTCTTCAGTGTTGCCAGCAAATGAATACTCTTTCTTTTCATGTATGCACAGAACATCTTTGAAATTAGTAAAGACTCTCAAGATTTTGAATGGAAGAACAGAATGACAGACTGAAGGGGACACATTCTTCTCAGCAAAAATAAGCACTGTAGATGTGAAGTAAATAAAAAAAAAAAAGAAGGAAAATTCCAGTTTCTATAAGCAATGAAAGCAGAAAACTGATTAGAACACGGCACTGTAGCAGAGAAGGAATAGAATTAAAAACAGGAGAACCAATGTTATGAGAAATGATTTTTAAATTTTAAAATGGTCTTACTTAGTTTCTAGTTTTGTAGTTCAAAAAGCAAAAGAATGATAGCACCGTTCTTGAGTCCACCTGTTCCCTTCCCAACACACATTATGTAGTTAATGACTGCAGTATATAACTGTATAATTATATAATATATAATATATGTAACACTAAGAGTTAATAGCTATTAGTATTAAACCTCTTTTGGCTACATGAACATTGACACTGCAACACCATCATACTGAATTTTTAAAGAAAACTTTTTAAAAAAAGCTTTAGAAGCTTTTTCTAGACAAACAATTTAATAAGAATAATATTACATTTTTTTCCCATGATCTTTTAATGCCATGTGTGTTGAAGGCAGGTTTTTTTTAGTGAGTTCTCTTTGCGTAGGGAGCTATATAAGTTTGTCAATACTTGATGATAATCTTAAAATTTTGTACACTAAATTAAAAGTGGGACAAGATTTTCTTAAAACATGTTCACGTGATATCTAACATCTTGTTCCATTTTATGCTTGTAGCCTTTCTTATAAAACGGATACTTCACAAAGTATGCTGCAGAAAAGCCAATGAATTAGTGAAAATGTCTATACTTGCTATTCCTTCATTCAAAGTTTAGAACGTAATGTGCCAGTGCAATGTGTGAATATTAGTGCAAGCCTAGCACCTTCAAAAACAATCATCCAGCTGCAGAATATAGCAAGATTGAGTCTGTCAGTGTTGCTGGGTCATCCACTGTCATTAGCTTCTTTTGACTTGTAATACATATTTTTATGGATTTTTTTTTGTTGTGATGAATGTGTTTCTATGTGAAATATTTTACTTTTTTCTCTTAGTACTTTTTTAGCTATACATCTGTATGGTTGGAGTCCCATAACCATAACCAGTTTAATAACGAAATAAAACCTAATACAGATTAGTCAAGATTTCTGCAATGTTGGGGTCTTGTTTTACTGAAGTAGCCACAAAGTGATAGGAGGACTTAATGTAGTTAGGCTTCCATATTTAACAGTAATGAGGTAGGGTCTTCATCCACAAGTAAATGAAGTGGCAAGTAGTATTGAGATAAGTCAAGAGTCACCTTATCATGTATATTATAGGAGTTGGAATTCTTACTGAAAAACCTGAATTTCTGAAAGGTGCTTCAGAATAAATTCATCAGTTGTGCCAGCTGGCTACTTCTGTTTAAAAGTTTGTAATTTAAAAATAACACTTTTTCTCATTACAAAGTATTGCATAATTTTATGACATGGAGCTTGGTTCAGGTACTAGCTTTTGTTCAGGTACTAGCTAAGGTTTTTCTTTTGGATTGGGAGGTGAGGGTTACAACCAAAATTATGGTCTGTATAGCTGAAAACTGGCTTGCTTTTTTATGTGTTATTTTAACATGCATAAATATTTCTTTGTAGGCTGATACCTGTGCTGGTAAATGGTATGAAATATTCAGAGATTGATATTATTCTGTTGAAGGTGAGTATCAGTTTCATTTACTCTAGAGGAATAGCTGGTTAGCTTCTGACTTATAAAGCAGAATGATTCAGATCAGAATGGGTAGATCTGGCCTACCATCTGTTCAATGGAAAATTAGCTTTCTGGGGCAAGGTATGCTGTTCCAAATACTAAATACAACTGCTGCTATGTTTGTTGGAAAATAATCTGTGGCTCTCCTGCTTTGCCCCCAGTCCCAGCTTACTCAATTTAGGCAGAGCTGGGATACTATTACCACGAACTACTTCAAGAATGCAGCCTAAAAAAATGTTGAGAATTAGTGCTAATGGCTTCCAGATTGAATACATGGCTTTTTTCATGACTGTGTTTCAGAATATGTCTGTGTACCAGAATTTCTCTATTATTTCTTTCTATTTCATTCCCATTGATTAATTTTGTAACAAGAAGGATACTTTGTGGGTGAGAGTATCTCTCTTGCTTGTATCTTCTGTCCTCTTTCTGGTAAATTAGTCTGGAGAACATAGGAGCATTGGCATTTTGATAGTTGGGCAGCTCAAGTGGGATGTGAATCTTATATACTTACAAAGTCTTGGACTAAAACTACATTGTTAACTTCCTTGAGCAATATGGTTGGACTAGTTTATCTGATAAAACAATTTGATGACAGGGGGATGTTGAAGAAGATGAAGCTATTCCAGACAGTGAGCAGGACATAAGGCCTCGTTTTCATCGTTCAAAGACGGTGGCTCAGCAACATGAAGAGGATGGTATTGAAGATGATGACGACGATGATGATGAACTTGATGACGATGATACTATTTCTGACTGGAATTTAAGTATGTCAAAGTAATGTGTAAAATATTTTGAAATAGATCAATTTGCATAATACAGGAACCACAGTAAGAGAAGTTTGTGTGTAGGAATACTGAGTTTTTGTTTTTGAATACAGAAAGAACTATCTGCTGACATAATTGGTCAATGTGTTGGAGGGGGAGTCTTTCAAATGACACTTTGAATTTGTAGCTGCATTGGGAAAAGCTATCCATCTGAAAGCTTATTTTTTAACTTCAGTATGGCAGGTTGAGCTAAAAGTATTTAGCTGATGCAATTCAATGGAGCTTTTGGACTTAGAATTTTAATTCTATGAGATAATAAAAATCATGTATCACCTGTTTAACATCAGTTAAACGTTGATCAGTGGAGCAAGCTTAATAATGCTTTCTTTAATTTCAGTCTTCTCTCTAATATTGATTTGTGTTTTGTTTTGGGTTTGTTTTTAATTCCCTATGTGAACATGCTACTACCTATGACCATTACTGGTAGTTCTTTATCATGAGAGGAATTTGCTTCTGACCAGAATACAGTACCGTAGTTATGGAGAGAGGAGATAGCTGTGAGGAAACCAGAATTCTGGTGGCCTCTGTGTGCGTCATAGGACCTTTCAGCTAAGAGGCCATGTTGTAAGGAAAGAAAATGCCACAAACTGGTTTTTAAGTTGTGAAATTTTGACAAATCTGATTTGAATATGTTTTGGAAATGAGCTCACTGCGGAATAATGTTCTGAGATTTGGACATAGCCACATTTTTTTTTCCCAAGGCCACAACTTTTCACAACAGGTGAACATACCTTTAGGATTATGATTAAACAATTTAGAAATGTATCTGGAGAATTATTATTGTTGTTGTTGTTGAAAATATGAGTGCAAATATCCTTGTTTCTGTAAAGCCGCTTTTTGGGGGGAAAAAATAGTTTTAGGTTCCTAGTGCTGTTCTTGTCACTGCTATAAATAGAGATTGCAGAATTAAATACATATTTTCTGAAGAAGATAGCTCAAATAAATAAGGTGCCCTGTGATGCACAGTTTTGATTAAGATGGTGAGAAGGCTGAAGTTGTTCTGAAGTAGTGGCCTGGAAGAGAAATAGCAGAGCAGTTTAGAAATCTGTGATGAGAAATGTTATCTGGATTTCAGAAAATTTTTGTTATCTAAAAATCAGGATTGTGTGCCCTATTTCTTATCCAGTGTTCTATATCTGACTTCCCATTTGAACAGAGAGGAAGCATCAGCACAGCTTGACAATAAGAAGCATTGCTTACTGATGAGACCAGTGTGATCCACTGAGAGAGATTAAGAAGGAACTGATATTATAATAATAATGACTTTCAAAGATCTGTGGCTTTGCACCAGAGCACGGTGGATCACTGTGTTGTAATGAAATGGAAGTATCTTTCTTCCTAATGCACTGAGAATCCACTGGCAGCTCAAAATAAGGATTATATTGCCTAACTACAATTATTTGTATAATAAGCAGAGATTAACACTGTTAATTCCCTTCAGGGAAATGTTCTGCTGCTGCTTTAGATGTCCTAGCCAATGTATTTCGTGATGAACTTCTGCCACACATCTTGCCCCTGTTGAAGGAATTGCTCTTCCACCCTGAGTGGGTAGTTAAAGAATCTGGTATCCTTGTTCTTGGTGCAATTGCTGAAGGTAAGGCAACAGTGCATATCAGGTTACTGATTTTTTAATTGGTTCTAAAGCAGCTCAGATGAATTTACTTATGCAAACAAGTATATGTTCTTAGCTGGTTTAGTTTCAGTGATTAATCTCAAGATCTACTAGTAGATGACTGCAGTTATTTAATTGTTAATTTTCAAATTTATGCATGTTTGGGAGGCTAAATTGATTACATAATTTCTTTTATTTCTCCCTGTCTTAACTCTGCAGCATACAATTGCTGATCACTCACGAAATACTACCTTGATTTCGTAGAAGATATTTTTTTAGAAATGTTTTTCAGAAATGGAGAAGACTGCTCCTGTGACTTTAGTACCCTAAGCTGCCTTTTGTGGATGGTTCCCCAATTAAAATAGGAGAACTTCCATTCCTTTTTACTTACTCACAGTCTTGTTTGGCTTTTTGCCTGAAGTTTCAGCATCTCTGTCAGCATCTTTCGCAGGCCGAAGAAGTACATTTGGGTCCATGCCTGGATTATCTTTCTTTTCCCACGGTGTCTGATGAACCTACTTTTTTTGTTGTTACTAGAAAACTTTTTACTTGGTTTTGATTTTAAGTCAAGCAAGTGAAAGTTAGTATTTCTAGCAAATCTCAGTGTATTACTGCCCTTGCTTACTTGAATGGTGTAGCTTTTGTTGGTGGTCAGTATTTGTATGATATTAGGAAAAAACAAGAGGAAATTTAAATTTCTTAAGAATTCCTTTTTCATGTGATGATTTCTTGTCAAGCCGTAGTCTCTATTTGTTTTCTTGCTTACTCTGAGTAGACTGATGTAGAACCTTCAAGCTTTAGAAACTCATTTTATTTGAATGTACTTGCTATACTACATTTAATAAAGCAGAATTTCTGGAGACTGAGTAGAATTGTAATAGAAAGCACTGAACTAAAATTGTAATAGAAATGAATATAAGTTTAATTGGACGTTTTAATTATTGTTTATGTAAGGTTTCTTTTTAGGACTTTATATAAATTAGGTAGACTTGCTTTGTATATTGTGAAAATATCAGTTAACTTTGCATATTGTGCATAGAGCGAAAGTATGTCTCTTAAAGGAAACAGAAAACCATAGAACTTTTCGTTAATTCTGGTGCTGCAATAGCTGTATTTTTCCTTCTAGGCTGCATGCAGGGTATGATTCCATATCTTCCAGAGCTAATCCCTCACCTTATTCAGTGCCTGTCTGACAAAAAGGCTCTTGTGCGCTCCATTACATGCTGGACTCTTAGTCGCTATGCACACTGGGTAGTTAGTCAACCCCCAGACACATACTTGAAGCCATTAATGACTGAGTTGCTAAAGCGTATCTTGGATAGCAACAAGAGAGTACAAGAAGCTGCCTGCAGGTAAGCCAAAGCTTAAGCAAAAATAACTATCCATGACAGAGCTTTTTTTTCCATGGGAAGCTATTTTTCATGCCCTTATCAATGAATGCATGACTCCATTTCTAGCTCCTAATGTATTTCTTCCTCTTAAAATGGGGTAGAGGCAGCTGCTTCTGAAGTAGTCACAACTTTCTCCCAAGTTGTAACAACCTGAAAAAAGTTAACTTGTATTTCTCTTATCCACTTTGTTTTCAGAGTATATGAACCACCAACCTAAATAATTTATTGTAGTAAATTTGCTGTTTGTGATGCTTCTTTGTTTTCAATATATGATGTTTCATTTATAAGAGATTTGGCTTTTTTTAATATGCCTATGAACAGATTGTGGTGGAAAACTATCCTGTGGTTGGAGTACTGGTACTGTTTGTACTTAGCTCAGTATTACGGAAATATTTGAGTTATGATTATTTCAAAGGTTATTAACTTTCTCTCAAAGACAGATCCTGGGAGATAAGATTGCATTCTTCCCCTTGTCTATTTATATTAAAAAAAAAGAAGAAGAATTAATGGCTTCATTAGTGTACATAACATTAATGAAATGGGAATGGGTGCATCCCTTGTGCAGGTAGCTCATCAAATAAAATTTGTACATGTCAGTTTTTGTGAGACCAGAGTGTACACAGCAAACCTTTAAGAAGGTTTCTTCATAAAGCAGAGTTAGATCCTCATCTGAACAGATTCTTAACACTTGAAACATGTAATAATGATAGTAATGCTAAAAATGATGATGATGATAGCATCAACCCCCAAATATCAATAGTGCCTAAGGACAGCGCTGAGTTCAGAGTTCTTGTGCTAAGCTTTGCACAAAAGGGGTGAATGTATCCTTGCCTGAGAACAGATACAATGAATTTATGAAATGTATTTAATAAGATTTGAGTATTAAACAGTGTTTCCTTTTTGTCTCCAAACCTTTTCAAGCCTTGGGCTAGCAAATTTGGGGACCTTTACTGTCTGTTCTATTAATTCTATTTAACAACAAAAACCAAAACTACCCCCCAAAACAAAAAACAAACAAACAAAACAGCAAAACAAAGACAAAGCAACAAAACAACCAGCCAACCAACAAAAAGAAATCTCCAAGGAAAAGTACCCTACATCTGTTCAAACTTTCCTTGTCCAAAACATAGTTGAAAATCTGCATTTAGTTGAACACTGTGTTCAACTAGCTGTGTTGTAGTTGTTAAATAACCTCATGTGATGCTTATGAAGGATGTAAAAGGGGACATGGAAACAAAGTGATAAGAAATATAGAATAGAAATATTAAAAATAAGAGTACATCTGATTTTTTTAATTAAAAGTTTGATATCAGACTTAGAGCCTGTTTTGAGATACTTTCTTTAGAGCACGAATTCATTAAAATTACTGTTTCAGCTAAAAATAAAGTGCCTGAGAAACTTCACTGTAAGGAAGATGTAGAGCCATTACAAGTCAAAACATTTGCTAGCTTTCTAAATTGTGAGGAAATAAAATTAATGTTCTTGGACAGCAACAAAAAGCTGCATCTCAACAGTGGCTAGTTGCATAGATTGTTAATGTCTACCAAATTGAAGACTGGTCATAGGACAATGTATGTTTTTGTCACTTCTGTATGGTAGCAGATGTCTAATGTTCATTTCTGTATTATGGAGAAACTGCTCCTTTTGTTGATGAGACCCAAAATGATACTCACTGAAAAATGTTTTCTTGCCCATGTTGTATGCCTTTCCAAAAGAATACACTTCATAATAATATAATAAAATAATAAATAAAGAAAGAATGGTAGCCGCTGAGTTTTGACAGTTCCATTGTGTTAAGAAAAAGGCATTTCTGTATTTGGCAGCATGCAAGTAGGGGATTGTTCACCTCCTGCAGTGATGCATGCATTTTAGTACAGGGACAGACTAATAATAATCTTGTTGACATAAGCTAGGCCAATAAATCTTCTATAGGTTGTTTCTTTTCCTTTGCTTAATGTTTCTCTGAAGCAGCATCTCTAGTTTGTGCAGATTTTTTTTGTTTTGTTTTGAGTGTGTTTTCTTAATGCTGCTGTTCAAACAGCAAGCTGCAAAGTTTCCATGATGCCATGATGTGTGCTTTGACAAAGGCAGGCTAAAACAGTTCATCCTATGTATTTGCTTTTAGTTTCACATCTTTCTGCATCTGTTTGTCTACATAGTAACTGCTGTGAGTACAGGCTGATGTTTGTATTGTACTGGCATAACAGCACCAGGGTCTCTAGGTGCAGCTACAGTGTACATAAAGATAGTTTCCATTTTTAACTTAACTGCTTTTGTTAGGGTTCCTTCTACTTAACAGGTAGTATATATTGTAACTTGAGTACTAATGCTTTTTTTTTTTGGTGGAGGACCTCCTGTCTATACATAAAGGATTTTATGGCAGTATTTTAAAATTTTGTTCATTACAGTGTAAGAACTGAATCCTTATGGGTACTTTTGTGTTCAATCAAAAAAGATCAAGGTTATCTAAGTAATATATATTTGAAAACATATCTTTGATGAATTTGAAGACTGAATACAGTTTTATGTTTCAACAGAAATAAATGAAGTAGGGCATTTTGAGGTCGTCTTGTTTGATTTTTTTCAAGATACTAACTGACCTGTTTTATTGTCCCTCAGTGCCTTTGCTACTCTAGAAGAGGAGGCTTGTACAGAGCTTGTTCCTTATCTTGCATATATACTTGACACTTTGGTCTTCGCATTTAGTAAATACCAGCATAAAAACCTGCTCATTCTTTATGATGCTATAGGAACTCTAGCAGATTCTGTAGGACATCATCTAAATAAACCAGTAAGTATGCCTTATGTTCTGTAGAAGCAGTCATCATAATTGAAAAACTTGTTCAGTGTTATTTGTAGGGTGCTTTGCATGTTATAAACCAGAAATGCTGATATTTCTGTGTAGGTCTCAATAATACTAAATATTTACAGATAAAATACATAGACTGCACATAATTTTCCCACTACACAAATATTTGCCATTTTGAGTAAACAAATGATAGTGTGTGAAATGTGCTTCTCATCATGATTTTCTCCTCATGTTCAGAATTTTTCAGCTCAGAGGAGATACACATATCAATATAGATCAAACTTTTTTTTTTGGTAACTGCTTTATAGCTAAGCTGCTCTGTATATGTCTCTTGCCAGTGAATTGGAGCACATCATCACTAGAAATTGCTATTTCAGAGTGAGAAAGGCATTTTTTTTATATAAAAACACAGAATCCTATGGTCAAAGCACAGATAACAGACAGATGTAATAGGGGTTTTTTTAGTGTACATATATTAATTAGTTGAAGATATATACCTGTCACATGTTTGCATCTTATGATGGTTGTTGAAACTTGTTTTATTTCTCTGTAGTGCTTCAAATGACATAGACACCCCAGATAAAAACAATTTTAGTTGTTTCTATGTCATTTTACTTGCCATCTGAGACCCCACACCATCAAAGACCTATTTTTCAGTGTCTCTCTGAGCCTGGCCACCTTGACATTTGACAGTACCAGGAGGAAGCTAAATGGGAGCTCCTGAGGAGGATGTGACTTTCATTAGTCAATTCGAATTTTATATTTTTGGGCATAGCAATATGTGTTGGCTCTTCATATACCTTCTGGGAGCAACAGCACTATCAAGATGCCTTGCTCAATGTCTTGTGACTGTGGCCGCGCAATGGCAGGGAAGCCAGCTTTATGCAGAAGGGGTAAGTGCCTCCTTCTGGAGGCATAGGAAATTACTTTCTTCAGGGATGGTTAGTTGCTTGAGGAAGAAGTTTCAAAACTTGGGGGAATAGTGTTGTAGCATCAGAGCAGTGCAAGATGGTTGAGAAAAGCTGGTGGCAGATGCAGAGCCAGAATGTTTTCTTAGGCCCTGAGGCAGTCACTTAAAGTTCAATAATCCAGGTAGCTATACTGAAACCAAACCTGCAGGAAGGGATTTTCCAAAGGTATTTATATGCTTTAGCAAAAAATATCAAGGCATAAATTGTAAATCCTAATATAAAAATACTTCTATGAATTGCAACAATGATTGAAATACAGTACATCAGGGTTTTTTTTCTCTGAAGAAGCAGACTGTATTTCAGTTCCTACCTAACTTGAAATAAAATAGTATGCAGTTAAGTATTTTAGCAGCTCATGCATTTTCATCCCAAACAGGAGTATATTCAGATGCTAATGCCTCCATTAATCCAGAAGTGGAACATGTTGAAGGATGAAGATAAAGATCTCTTCCCCTTATTAGAGGTAAATGGATAAAATTGGATAAAATGGATAAAAAATGGATAAAAATTGGATATTTTTAGTCAACTTATTTAGGAATTATACTTTCTACTAAAGAGGTTCCTACTAGGAAATATGACTATAAAATCTGACAGTGTTAGCTATTTCCCATTATGAATAAAATATTCTGACTATAGTAAGAAAATTTTATGACTGAGGAACTGTCCTTAGGTTTAGCAGAAATCTTTTAGATTTTTTTTTGCCATTCTGGAGTATTTTCTTTGATAGGATTATTTTAGGGAAAAAAATGTTTTATCTTGCTTTTATTCTTGTCTTCTCTCTCCTTGCTCTCCCTTCATCCCTCCATTAAAACTATTGTCAGACAAGCTGAAGGTATGAACCAGACCATGTAGTCTTATTCTCTGTACTTTCTGACTGTGAAGCAGGAAAACACCTCTAGAAAATTAGTTTTGTAACTCTTAGGTAATATTAGGGCTTGTTCATGGTCAAGATACTGCAGCTTAGTGTAAGTGCTGTCTGAAATTATCATAACTGGTTTTGTATGCATTTTCTTGGCTACCTCTAAGAAGATGCTGCTGCTGAGAAATTTTCTCAACTGATGTGTACAGGAGTGAGTAACAACTTGCTGATAGTTGCCTTGCCTCAGCTAACCAGTACTGCCTTTCTAGGCTGTGTTTACTTAATCAGTTACATATTGGTGTAATTAAAATCCTAATATCTTTTAAGTTACCTTTCCTGAGTAAAAGGCACTTCAGGAATGTGAGGAAAGGTAGTGACTGTTTTCTGTTTCTTCTTTTTTTTAATTCCAGTGCCTGTCGTCAGTTGCTACTGCCTTGCAATCTGGCTTTCTTCCATACTGTGAACCTGTGTACCAGCGTTGTGTAAATCTGGTGCAGAAGACACTTGCACAAGCCATGGTATTTTCCTATGACTATTCCAATGTTACTTTGCTAAACCAATGTATTAACTGTGTAAAATTACAGGTTTGGAGAGAGATTCAATATCTAAATGAATATGCAGTTTGGAAACTTTTTTTTATGCATACCCCTGAGAAAATCTAATATAATTTGAAAATGTGTACTTATTTGTTGCAGTTACATAATGCTCAGCCAGACCAATACGAGGCTCCAGATAAAGATTTCATGATTGTGGCTCTTGATTTACTCAGTGGTTTAGCTGAAGGACTTGGAGGCAACATTGAACAGCTAGTGGCTCGCAGCAATATCCTGACACTAATGTACCAATGCATGCAGGTGAGATGAGTCATCTACTTGATCCAAAGATTTTCTTTATTCGGAGAATCAGAATCTCTTCTAGAATTGTAATTTTATTCTTCCTCTATTCAGGACAAAATGCCTGAGGTACGGCAGAGTTCTTTTGCATTGTTGGGGGATCTGACAAAGGCCTGTTTTCAGCATGTTAAACCTTGCATCGGTATGTTTCTTTTAGTATTAAACAACTTGTTTTACAAATTCCTAAGATGTTAGTTTAGCCATTGTTAAGCTCCCTGCCTGTTCTGTGGGTTGCCTTTTCATGGTATTGGACATTGTAATTTTCCTTTATCAACAATGGTCTGTGGTCTTTTGTCCTTTGAATTGTACATTTAGAAGACATGGTCCTATTTTTTTAGACAGTGCAAAAATTCTTCTTTGTCCTTTATTTTTAAAGCTTTTTTTTGTTCTACTAGACTCTATTATTATGGAAAATTATATATAATATATAAATCAAAAAACTTGGCTAGAGGATAGGTTTTCCTTTGGTTCTTTGCATTGTTTTCATTTCAGTAGGAAAGTAGCATCAGTTATACACTTCCATGATATTTGCTCTTTCTTCCCACAGATATAGTTAAGATACACTTGCCAAATGAATGCTTGAATAGGTTTGGAATTTAAAGTTTATTTGGCAGATGTTATCATTACCTTTGTGACTCATTTTTTCTTAAAATTTAATCAAAGATGTGATTGCCTTCTAGTCTTCATTGTTTTATCAACCATGGCTGAATACACAGCTATCCAGATGATTTGAAGTTGTTCAACCATATTATAAAACCACAAATACTTGTAGCTGTGATTTTTTTCTTCTGTTCCCCTCTCTCCCCCCACCTAAGCAAGGGAAGGAGGGGAAAAGGATTTGTAGAGTTACAAAAAGATAAAGCCTTTTAGAAAGATTTTAAAAGCATAATTTGAAAAGATTTGCATTGAACTGCTTAGGTTCTAAATTCCAGGTTAATCTGATATATAGCAGAAATATAGCTCTTGTTAATTCACAAGTAACACTTTCCAAGCATTTAAATAGGCTTACATTGTCTTTTTCTTAAATCCCTTTCCCCCCCCTCCTTGATCTAACACTAATGGGACAAGATGGTTGTATTGTGTGATGAGATTTTAAAATGTTGTTCTTTCTAGCTGATTTCATGCCAATTTTGGGAACCAACCTAAACCCTGAATTCATTTCTGTCTGTAACAATGCCACCTGGGCAATTGGAGAAATCTCTATCCAGATGGGTAAGATTTAATTTTTAATTTAGTCTGCGCACATTTAGCATGTGTCTGGGCATTTTGGGGTGGGTTTCTTTTAGTGATTATTTCATGTTAAAATTGAAATTACATTTGAGATCCTTGTCCTTGTTAGTAAGTTCAGGGTATGCATTCTGTTTAGATTACTGATATTAATGGTTGTTTTCTTCTGAATCTTTTTTCATTGTTGTTTCAGGTATAGAGATGCAGCCTTATATTCCAATGGTGTTGCATCAGCTTGTAGAAATAATTAACAGACCCAACACACCAAAGACGTTGTTAGAGAACACAGGTACCCAAAAAATTAACTGTACATGGTGAAGGAAATTAGAGATTTTTTTTAATAATCGTTTTTAAAATTGCATAGGGGAACCACACCAGAACTGACTTTTTTGCTATGTATTTGGCTTTTATAAGCAAAAGCAACTCTGTTTTGCAGAAGCTCTTACAAGTCTCAGTCTTGCAGCATATCATATATCTAGATTCTAAAAGTCATTGGTTTTTCCTTTTATAACATTTTTTATATCTATTTATAGTCTGTGTAATTATTCTTCCACTTTTATTTACTTATTAAGTATGACAAATATATGCAGTAACCCTAAAGACTTATTTCTCACTGATTTTGATATACACATGTCCTTACATGTGTACTGTATATATATGTCTAGGGTTGGAAACAAATTTCATTGGCATATTTAAAACAAATAATGAACTCTTTGAATTTACAAAAATGCAGTCTTTTATTTTAAGATAAAATTGTAATATCATACACAAAAATCTAGATCTATGATGGCAGTTTTACCACAATGTAACTGAAATTATATTATATTTAATTTCTATTACCTGGTCACTTAATAACAAATTTCTGAAAAGAATAATGGCATGCATATTTTATGTTCTGGTACACAGCTTTGAATTCCAAATTGGGAGCAATCCCCAAATACCTTACTGAATCGAAATCTCTGAGGCTTGTTTCTTTTGCATTTATAGAGGGCATGTTCTGGTATAACAAGCACCTTCCATACTCTAGGAAAAATTTATTAATAATGTGATGGGTTTACGGTTTACTATTTTACTAATTAGGAATTTTATTTTTTCATCTTACAGTTTGAAAACTGTAAGAAAGTAACAGTTTAGTGATTATATCTGACATGATTGAAAATGATGCAAATACAATGGTACAGTTATATTTTTTGAGCAAAGCAAGAGATAATTTGGAGAGAGATTTTTCCTTGCATATTTTTCCTCCAGTATTCTCTAAACTTACAAGCTGCACTTTCTCTGCTCCTTAACCCCCATTTAGTATGGAAGGTGAAGTTGAAGGAAAATTTACCTAGTTGTATGGCATATTATAGGTACTACTTTTTGAAAATGTAGTTTTGGAGTAAATACCTACTTGTTGTGAAATATACCATGGAATAGTATAAAAATATAAATTTTCCTTACCCCTGCCCCTGCCCTGACTTCCTTCCTCTGCACTGATGGATGTGTAATACCTGTAACTGAGAAGCATCTAATACTTAAATGTTTGCTTCCATCATTGCTAAGAGAATTTTTGGAAGCATCCAAACACTTAACTTTCATTTATTTATTTATTTATTTATTTATTTATTTATTTATTATTCTCTTAATAGTTCCTTTAAATGTGGATGGATAACTGCAAATAAATGTTGAGTGTGGTGTACTTATTATACGTTTGTTGTGGGATATTTTACTGTGTGCCACTAATATGTGCAAGAAAATTACTGGCTTTGCTGTAGCTTGCTATGTAATTAATTATGAAAACAATTATGAGAACACACTTTGATAGAGATTACTATTCCTTGTACAGGCTGTAGCTGTAAGAATTTACAGATAAAATTGTATTTTCATTTGAACTGCAAGTGCAGTTTTATAAGATAGCAAAAAAATTTTAGACACTGCATACGGAAATTGAGTAACATTAGGGCAAAACAGTATATTAACAGGGAGCTGCAGCTTTCATGGAATTAATGTTTCAGACTAGTATATCCTACACCAAACTTTTATTGGAGAAAGCATCATCTGCTTTATTGCATGTTTCATGAAACTGTTCACAAATGCCTGTTAATTAGAGTGTTGCATAGTATGTCCCTTGAACATAGGTTTCCTTTCTCTGCTTCATGCAAATCTGCTGGATTTTAGTATTATTCATGTATTTTGCTTCCAGTAATCCTGATACATTATTCCCCACCCTCTCCTTTTTCTAAAGATTAATCTTCCGTGAGTTGAGCAAACACCATTAAAACACATTTGCATGATGATATTTTCTTTGGTCTGTCCCTCGGAACAATGAACCAAACTGTCTAATCATGTGATGAAACAATTTTGCTTTTCATGTGTCCTTATGCTTTGGTATCAGAAGTCAGATTCTTATACATCTATGAGGAAACCTTTTGTGAACAGAAGAAATACTGAGATTTAAGAATTCATTTTCTGCAGTCAGTTGCTGTGAATTAGCAACCATTTTTAATTAAATTCTCTATGAGATTATGAAGAAGATAAATATTTCGTGCTCTTTGAGAAGTGCTTCATCTGTTTAGAATTTTCAGACAGATCTCAATATTTTCCATGTAAAAGTATTTATGCATGTATTTTTACTGATAGATGGGATCTATTAAAACCTTGAATTCAAAACCTGGGAAAAAAATAAAATGTTTAGAACAGTTGATACTAAAACTGAAAATGGTTGAGCTCTTTTTATCAAAGATAGCTGTAATAGTATATTTGAATAAAAACTTTCAAATGTATGGTAGGTAAATTTACTGCAAAAGATTACTCTGAAGAGGGCAGAACAGCTGCTTACATCAGAAGGCTTTTGGATTTAAAATTGTGTTTTTGGTGTTCTCTCATTTACTCCTTTAATTTTTCTTTTACCCTGGAGAGTATACCATATATGTTGCTGCCTCTTATTTAGGGGGTGGTAATAAACAAGCACTGGTGAAATCTTATGTTTATTATCATACACAGATTCTGTTGGTTTCTGTTTCTGAGTTATTTGTTGTTTTTTCTTTATTTTTTCTCCTCCCCCCTCATTTGCTCATGTCTTGGTTGGCGTTTGGTGGTGTATAACCGTGATTGCGTTACCTTAGCAATAACAATTGGTCGTCTTGGTTACGTTTGTCCTCAAGAGGTGGCCCCCATGCTACAGCAGTTTATAAGACCCTGGTGTGTATTATTCAATCTTTTTTTTTTTAATTCATTTTTCTTCACTCTCTTTCTTTCTTTCCTTCTTCTCTCTATCTCACTTTTAGATATATTTTCAGTTGGTTACAAAATCTCAATCCTTAATCATTGCCAACCATGTGACTAATCTTGTCCTATCAGGTTTGTGAGTTTTTAGTAGCACCGTCATGTATTCTTTATGTTGTGGCTAATGACTAATTTATGCATGGGATAAGATTGTCACATGCTTGCTGTGTTAAAGCTTGACTATGAAAGAGCATTTTAAAATCCACCAGAATGATAATACAATGCATGCAAATACTGTAAAATTTAAACAATGCATTATTTAAAATTCAGTCTGAGGCTTGAAATGCTTTAAGGAATATATGTTTATAGATTTGTTACGTATAAAATAGCTTGCTTGCTGCTATAAAAGTTAAATAACTGTTCTGTAAGTGGTATCTGACATAATTCATACTGTGATAGTATTTTATGTTCCGCTTCTAATAATGATAGCTTCTATAAATATTTCAGATACATGTTTCTTTTGTATTTAATGGAATACAGGTCACACTTTCTAACTGTATATAGTGTAACAGAAAAACCAGATTCTGGAGGTGAAACCTAATGGGATTATGCTAGTAAAAACTACGTGGAAGAAGTGTTTTTCTAAGTGTTCAAAATTGTGTTTCAGATCATCTTATCAGTGTGACTTATTCCATCAGATACTGTCATCTAGTTCTGACTTGATTGAAGAAAAGTAATAGAGTTAGCTAAGTTTTGCTCTCCAAATTGTCAGGTGCACCTCTCTGAGAAACATAAGAGACAACGAGGAAAAGGATTCAGCGTTCCGTGGGATATGTACCATGATTACGGTCAACCCCAGTGGAGTAGTCCAAGTAAGATACACTAATAGATACTAACTTCTTTACCCATTTAAAATTTAAGGAAAGCTGTATATTGAGTATGAAAAGGTTTACCTTGGTGTGATTCCCTGCAGTGCATGATGTAGCTTTATTTTGAGGTCAAGGAGGCCAAAATGTTTATATTGTGAATGATACGTATCATGATGCTTCAGTAATTATCATCTGAAAAGGAAAGGACGAGAGTATTGTTAAAGTCAGTTTTTGTCTTTTCCTTGCAGCGAATATATAAATAATGAACTTTGATTAAAATAACTGTATTTTGATATTTCTGTCAGGTTGTGGTCAGGATCTGGATGCAAATATAAGGTGAAAGTTGACACTATGAAACCTATTTTCCAGAGGCAAGCTAGGCTTTTAAAACAAGAAACAGAAAAAAACAGTAACCATTCTTAAAACTTGGGTAGAGAAGATTCTGTTTCAACTTTGAATAGATTACTTAAATAGTCAATGTGGACAATGAACAAGCATATGTTTAAATTAAATGGTACAACTGAAGAACACAGTATGACTTGATATTTTGTCTCTACACCTCTACAGTAAAGCTGTATCGATGTAATATTTTCTAAGAGGAAAATGGAACTGATTTTTCCCTCTCCTCTACCTGGAGTTCTTCTTCCTGAAACACAAGAATTGAGCCTCTATCTTGTTTTGTAATTTTCAGTTCATTTCACTGGTGCCTTATTCTGGACTTAACATTTCACTCTTCTGCTGTCTGTTTGTTCATTCATGTAGCTTAAGGGGAGGGAATAATTCAGGACACATTTGATTAGCCCATCTCTCCTCTGTAGTCATTATCCTCAATTCCTGCTGAAATCATGTGCACTGTTAACATAATTATTAAAGACTGGTGTTTTGTTGATGGAGGAGGAGGAGGTAATGCATGACAGCAGATGAACTAAGCATAGGGATTTAGAGGTGGCTTTAGTTTTGAACCTGTATCCCGGAATAAAACTTCTGGCTCTGCTTAAAGCAATATGACACCTTTTTTCCCCAACTGGAGATGTGCGAGTGTGCATTTGTTCCTTCTTACTAAGGTGATTGGTTCTTGCATTTGTATGTGTACTGAAAGAAATGTTAGGCTAGTGTGATGTAGGAGGGGAGAGTTGAGGTTTTTTAACTGTGGTTTTAAGACACTCAGCAATTTCTATTTCTGAACACTTAGGCATACAAGAACACAGCATTGTCTGAATTAAGTGGAAAAATAAATAGATAAAAGCAAAAGCAGTTGTGAATTGAGATCAAAGACCCTGTACAGTTCACAGAATAAACATCAAATATTGTTTTCAGATGTATAAATTGAGGTTTCTAACCTATGTGATTGTTTAATCTTATAGGACTTTATTTTTTTTTGTGATGCTGTTGCATCATGGATTAGTCCAAAAGATGATCTTCGAGACATGTTCTGTAAGGTAAGTCTTCTAATATAACAGTATATTCTAATGGCGGTTGTTCTGCATCCTCTGGTTTGTTTGTTTCTTTCTGTAGCATTTACTGTGTTGGTCATGGAGGTCTCTCTGCCCCCTGTGGTCATGCAAGGTCATACATTTTCAAACAAAACAACATGAAAATCCTGACTGTTTTTTTTAACTTTTATTTTCTTATATTTTTTTAACCTATATTTTCTTATATGCATTTGGGTTATTCCTAACTTTTTTAAAATTAAGAAGTTCACTTGAGATGTTATTTGAAGGGATAATCATCCTCAAACAGCTTTTCATAATGTCCTGTGTTTGAAAGAACAGGGGGTTCTATACTACATTTAAGACTTCTTTTTCTAGAAAATGAGATCTTTAGGGTTCAAGACTACTTTTTGTCACAAAGATGCCTATTTTATTTTGAAGAAATATCTAGAAAATTTTGAATTAAAAATATCCTGGTGGTATTCTGTTTGATTCTCTTACTTTTGCTGAAAATAAGGGATTGCTTGATCCTCCTCAGAATCGCTCTTGGGTGAGCAAGTTTTAAGAAACAAACAAACATACAGTTATACCCAAGAATGCATCCCTATTGACAAAGTATCAACAGAGTTTAAGCAGAAGGACTGTTTTCCCTGTATTTAATAAGAAAAAGAAACCAAAAAAAATAACAAATGGACCAAAAGAACAAAGCAGAAAACCCCCCACTAAACTACAAAACCATCAGCACAACCAGAATGTGATATATTGTATTTTTGCACTGATGTCTTACATTAAAAAAGAGAGAGAGAAAAAAAGTGGTTCCCTTCACAAGTTCTAAAGTGAAATCTCGATTTTTAGGAAGTGCTATCTCAAAAGAAAAGTTATTATATCCTTGTAGAAAAAATGGAGCATATTCCTAAAAACTTACTGGGATCATGGGTCAGTATTGGCACGTCTTCTTTGATTAATGCCATGTGTGAGCATGAAAACAGAAGCTAGAACTTTTCTATCCCATCTTTAAGAGAAAAGACAGAAATCTGACTGTCTTAGTTAGCCTCTCAGATAACTGGTCTCCTTCCAAGGAATGTTAAATCTAGAAAATGCATCAGCAGAAGGAATGCTGTGAAAAATGCAAGTGAAAAGGAAGTCCAGGATACAGCCTATGATGATTGCCCAAAGCAGTCTCAGTGTGTGTTTCTGTACCAGTCCTTCAGCATTGAATACTTGCTTCAGTAAGTTAGGCTCCTCTTTTTTAGATTCTTTCCAAGTTGTCCATGTAGCACCCACGGCATTCAAACTAGACACAAAGGTTCTTGATCACTTGGCATAAGGACACCTTTGCTTTTTAAAGCAATCAATTTTAATGTATTTTTGTGCTTTTTGCCTTGCAGGAAAGGAGACAAAGCTTTCTTCAGTCATGGCATGCAGGGGTTTTAGTTTACTTCTTCATGAATACATGAGTGCTGTAGTCCAGTTAGATGTTTTTCCAGCAATAATTATGAGTTTCAGGAACAGTGGAAAGAAACTGGATTGTCCAGTGTTTCTTTTTTTGTTTTATTCTTTACCACTAGAACTGGGAGAAAAATACCACTTTCAAGAGCATGGATAAATGAGCTGCCAGTGTCGAAATCTGACACATAACCTTTTGTCATACCTGAGCATTCTTAGATTTTCAGTAGTTGCTTGGTAGCTGGCGAATGTGACTGTTTGGGTTAGGAAGGAGAGGCGAACCTGCTTGTGGAAGGGAGAAAAGCAGTAAGTTAACTGGTGGCACTATAATGGCACATAACTTTGATATTGCCATTTCTATGAGAATGTGTTCAGGACAGACTGTTCCACAACTCAGTTTCACTGCATGTAAAAAAGAAAACCAAAACTTTAGGTTCTCTTTGCATAATTTTCTATGAGGAAAAGTAATTTCATCTGCTTTTGTCCTTTCTAATATTCACTTGTTACTTGTTTTAAGAGCTAACATACTAAGACCTTTCTGATAGTAGAATTTAATTTATTGGTTTTCAGATAATTTATTACATCAGAAGATCCAGACTGAAACCTGTAGGTTATTGTTTTTCCTCTTTCACTGGTTTTTGATTACCATTGAATGTGGATTCCTGTACTTGCAAAACAAAAAACATTTCAAGAGCTTCCTTTTTAGTGACAGTTGTCTTACAGGTTCCATGCAACAAACAGAGCTCTCACAGGTTTTATTTTTGTGCTAAAAATGGACAGATACTCATTTTGTCAAATGTTGGCTGCGGTTTTGGCTCAGCTTTCTTTCCATAACATCCTACACATTTAAAAAAGAAATGTGAACACGGTAGTCTTAACATGTATGATCTTTGTCAATTGAGTGACTGATTGACTGCCTGACTGACTGAACAAATGGATGAATGAATGATGAATTGAAAAAATTATAAATAGACATTCTGAAATGGCCTAACTCTAGGTTACCCATTAAAATACATATAAATATGTATACACACACATATTGTGGGGGTAGCTGTATTCTATATGTCACCTTTAAAAAAAAAAACACGTTAAGAAAGAGAATACTTCCTTTGTTTCTTAATAGCATTTCAGTATGAAATCAGGGAATTCAGATTGCCAGATGTACAACTTGGCAATTTGTGGCTTACTGCATATGAGGCTAGTAAATAATATATCCTCTATTTAGTGCTTATCTTGACTTCTCCCTTCTCATTTGTAGATTCTTCATGGATTTAAAAATCAAGTTGGGGATGAGAATTGGAGGCGTTTCTCTGACCAGTTTCCTCTTCCCTTAAAAGAGCGCCTTGCAGCTTACTATGGAGTTTAACCTCATGCACTGTAGCTGCAGTCCCATAATTAGAGGTAAGCACAGAAATCTTGCTTGGTAAACAGATCTGTAT